ACTTATATCCATTTTATCCAAGTTGTCAAATGTTGGCTTATAGTTATTCATAGTATCTCTTTTTTTCTATTCAACATCTGTACAATCTGTGGTCAGCCCCCTTTTTTTTTTTTTAAATTATGTATTTTAGAGAGGGAGAAAGAGCCGGGGGCGGGGGTGCGGAAAGAGGGGCGGAGGGACAGGGTAGAGAGAATCTTAAGCAGAGCCCGACATGGGGCTTGATCCCATGACCCTGAGATTGTGACTTGAGCCAAAACCAAGAACAGGACACTTAATTGTGCCACCCAGGTGCCCCTGGACAACCCGTTTTTGATCCTTGGCATTTGTTTTTTGTGTTCTTTTCTGCATCAATTAATCTAGCCCAAGATTTGTCAAATTCATTTCTCTTTTTCAAAGAACCAGCTTTGGCATTTTAATTTTACATATTTTCTATTTTGGTGATATCTACTTATAAATTTTTTTCTTATACTTAAGGTTTAGTTCTTTTTCTAGCATTTTAAAATGGATTGTTAGGTCATTTGTTGTAGATATATTCTTATAAGAATTTATAAATTTCTATTGGAGCACCGCTTTAGATATACTCCACAAATTTTGGTGTCGTCATTCACTTTAAAATAGTTTTAATTTCCTCATTATTTTATCTTTGACTTGTGAGTTATTTTAAAGTATGTTATTTAATTTCTAAGATACTTGAAGTTTTTCTGGATTATAGATTTCTTAACTTTGTTATCAGAGAATATAGTCTTTATGATTTCAAGTCTCTTAAATTTATTTTTTTAGCATTGTTTTATTGGAACACAATTGACATATACATTATATTAGTTTCAGGTGTACAACATAATGATTCAAAATTTGTATATATTGGGAAATGACCATTTCAATAAGTCAACTTAACATCTGTCACCATACATATTTCCAAATTTTTTTTCTCCTGTTGTACTCTCTTGGCAACTTTCATATGTGTGGTACAATATTATTAACTACAGTCACCATGGTGCATATTATTCCCATGACTTATTTATTTTATAACTGGAAATTTGTACCTTTTTACCACCTTTCCCCACTTTGCATGTGTTCCACCTCCTGACTCTGGCAACCTCCAATTTGTTCAGTGACCTTAGTTTTTCTTTAAGATTCCACATATAAGTGAGGCTGTGCTGTATTTGTGTTTCTCCATTTGACTTCTTTCACTTAATACCCTCTAAGTTCATCCATGTTGTCAAAAATGACAAGATTTCATTCTTTTTTATGGTTGAGTAATATTCTAGTGTGTTTTCTTTTCTTTATCCATTTTCTTTATCCATTCCTATATCAGTAAACAGGTTGCTTCCATACTTTGGCTATTGTAAATAATGCTGTGGTGAACGTGGGGGTACATTATGTTTTCGAATTAGTGTTTTTGTTTTCCATGGGTAAATATCCAGAAGCTGGATTTTATATTTCTATTTTTATTTTTTTTGAAGAACCTTCAATACTACGTTTCATATTGGCTGTACCAGTTTACATTCTCACAGACTGCATGAGTTTCCTTTTCTCCATATCCTTGTCAATGTTTGCTATTTTTTTGTCTTTTTGATAGACTAGCTATTTTGACTGGTGTGAAGTGATAGCTCATTGTGGTTTTGATTTATATTTCTCTGATGCTTAAATATTGAGCATATTTTCATGTGTCTTTTTGCCATCTGTATGTCTTCTTTGGAAAAATCTCTATTCAGGTTCTGACCATCTTTAATTGGATTTATTTTGGTGTTGAGTTGTAGAATTCTTTATATATTTTAGATATTAACCCCTTATCAGTGTATCATTTTCAAATATCTTCTATTTGGTAGGTTGTCTTTTAATTTTGTTGATTTCTTTTGCCTTGCAAAAGCTTTTTAATTTGATGTAGTCCCAATTGTTTATTTTTGCTTTTGTTTCCCTTGCCTAATGAGACAGGTCTAAAATAATATTGCTAAGACTGAGGTCCAAGAGATTACTACCTTTTATTTTATTTTAGGAGTTTTATGGTTTTAAGTCTTACTTTTAGCTCTTTCATCCATTTTGAGTTTATTTTTGTGTGTGGTATAAGAAAGCAGTCAAGTTTCATTCTTTTGTATATTGCCATCCAGTTTTCCAGCACCATATTGAAGAATTTTTTTTTAAAAGATTTTATTTGTTTATTTGAGAGAGAGTGGTCAGAGCACGCACGGGGGGTGGGGTGGTGCTTGGCAGAGGGAGAGGGAGGAGACTCCCTGCTGAGTGGGGAGCCTGACGCGGTGCTCAATCCTAAACCAAAGGCAGACACTTAACCGACTGAACCACCCAGGTCCTCCTTGAAGAGACTGTCTTTCCCCATTGTGTATTTTTGACTCTTTATCATAGATTAATTGACCATATAAGTGTGGGTTTGTTTCTGGGCTTCCTATTCTGTTCCATTTGATCTCTAGGTCTTTTTCTGGAGCGGGTACCACAATGTTTTCATAGCTTTCTAGTATAGTTTGAAATTGGAGTGTGATTCCTCTAGTTTTGTTCTTTCTTCAAGATAGATTTGGCTGCTCATGGTCTTTTTTGGTTCCACATGTTTTAGGATTTTTTTTGTTGTTCTAGTTCTGTGAAAAATGACATTAGTATTTTAGTAGGGATTGCATTAAATCTGTAAATTGCTTTGAGTAATGTGAACATTTTAACAATATCAATTCTTCCAGTCCATGAGCATGGAATATCTTTCCATTTATTTGTGTCATCTTCAGTTTCTTTCATCAATGTGCTATAGTTTTTAGAGTATAGGGTTTTTTATCTCCTTGGCTAAATTTATTCCTATTTTATTTTTCTAATGCAGTTGTAAATGGGATTGTTTTCTTAATTTGTCTTCCTGTTAATTTGTAATTAGTGTATAGAAACAATAGATTTCTGTATTTTAATTGTATTCTGCATCTTACTGAATTCACTTAATAGGTTTTTTATGGAGTCTTTAGGGTTTTCCATATAAAGTATCATGTCATCTGCAAATAGTGACAGCTTTACATCTTCCTTACCAATTTGAATGCTTTGTATTACTTGTCTAATTGTTGTGGCTATGATTTCCTGTATTATGCTGAATAAAAGTGACAAGAGTGGATATCCTTGTCTTGTCGGATATCCTTGTCTTGTTCCTGATCTTAGAGAATGGAGCACTGGGTGTTATATGCAAGCAATTAATCAGGGAACACTACATCAAAAACTAATGTAATATATGGTGATTAACATAATAAAAAATAAAAATAAGCTTTCAACTTTTACCATTGGGTATGATTTTAACTGTGGGTTCATCCTCCTTGTGTTTTATTATGTTGAGGGATATTTCCTCTGTACCCACTGTGACCTATTTAATGTATAGTTGAATTTTGTTTGCTAATATTTTGAGGATTTTTGCATCTATGTTAATCAAGGCCTGAATTTTTTTGTGGCATCCTTTAAGAAAAGGATGTATCAGGGTAATGCTAGTCTCATGAGTTTAGAAGAGTTTCAGAAGGATTGGTATTAATTCTTGTTTGAATGTTTGGTAGAATTCGTCTGGTCCTGGAGTTTTGTTTGTTGGGAGGTTTTTGATTACTGATACAATCTCCTTACTAATAATTTGTTCAGATTTTCTCTTCTCTGAAAATGTCTTTTAACCTCACATGACTCAATCTCACACGACTACCCTTTACTTCAGATGACAGTTGCAAGTAGTAGGTCCCCAGATATTCAAAACTTCTGTCCAACTTGGCTATAAATTAGAGGTTAAGTCTCCCTTCTTGGTCTTGATCATTTGCTAGAACAGCTCACAGAACTTAGGGAAAACTAACACTTAACCAGCTTATTATATAATAAAAGATATGATATAAGGATACAGATGAAGAACCAAATGAAGAGATACATAGGGCGAGGTCTAGAAGACCCAAGTGCAGGAGCTTCTGTCCCTGTGGAGTTGGGGCGTGCCACCCTCCTGGTACATGGATGTGTTCATCAACCCAGAAACTCTCCAAACCCCATACTTGGGGATTTTGATGGAGGCATTATCATGTGGCATGATCAATCATTAACTCAATCTCTAGCCCTTCCCCTTCTGGGAAGAGGTTGGGGGTAGGACTGAAAGTCTCAGTCTTCTAATCATGGCTTGATCTTTCTGTTGACCAACCTCTGTCCAGAAGCCCACCAGAAGTCACCTCATTAGAACGAAGGTCATTTCTGTCACCCAGGAAAATTCAAGGGATTTAAGAGCTCTATGTCAGGAAGTAGGGTCAAAAACCAAATACTAGAACAAAAGATGCTCCTAAGTACTCTTATCATTTAAAGAAATTACAAGGGTTTTAGGAGCTTTGTGCAAGGAACCAGGGATGGAGACCGGTAGATATTTTTTTCTGTTTCACAGTACGGGATTCTAGCTTGTCACTTCTTTTCTATTAGCACTTTAAAGATATTGCTCTGCTGTTTCTGGCTCAGCAAGTGATCTTTTATGGTGACAGTTTCTGATGAGAAATATGCAGATATTTGAAGCATTGTTTTTATTCTTTAAAGATAAGGACCCTGTCTTGGATCTTTTTCACCATTACCTAGCACATCTCTGATGTGTAGATGTACAATAAATTTTTCTTGAATTTATTTTGATTGTATTACATCTTAAGCCTTTCTAGTCTTAATTTACTTATTAGGGTTCTATTTTGGCAGGATCAGAATTGTCCAACATGTATTATTGCCGTTAAGCTTTATAACATCCCTTCACTAGATATGAATAACCAGATGAAAGAAACCATGCATTACTGATTTTTTGAAATGTTTCTCTCCCATTTTTCCTTCGTTATCTGGCTTCCTTTCCATGTAAAAGGAAAAAAGGAGGCAGTAGATACTTATCAAAATTATTTGCTTCTCTTCTCTTTTGCATAGAAACTCATTTCATAAAATAATGGACTATTAAGGGACATTCAGAAAACAATGAGCCAAAAAGTGTTCTGCGAAAGTTCTTTATTTTATAACATTAATCTTATGTTTAATATCTATAGAGAGAATTAAATACAGCAGAGATTTCCTGTTGAAGCTCTCAAGTGTTTCCATCTGCAGAAAAAAACCAGACTTTCTGCCTGATCATCCCATTGTACTTCAAAAACCAGTAAGTAGTTCTAATTTTGTATTAACTCTAAAATATTTGTCTTTAGTATTTTCACTGGATTATCTCCCTAGATTTTAAATCTTACTGTGGACTATAATTCAGAAAAGTAGCTAAGTCTAAATGTATAATATAACCAATTACTCTTAAGTAATTACCACGCTGGTCAAGAAATAGAATGGAATTTTAAGAAATATTTTTTCCATTGAAAGATAAAGAGCCTCAGAGTTGTATTGTTTTTCATTTAAGTTCTATAATCCATCTGCAGATGATTTTACTGTATGATGTAAGGTAGGGGTCAAGTTTTATTTTTTTCTACATGGATATCTAGTCATCCTAGCAATATTTACTGAAAGGACAGTCCTCTGCCACCTTTGCAGCAATATATGTGTGGTCTGTTTCTGGGCCCTTTACTCTTCTCAGTTCGTCTTTTTATATATGATAAAACAAGTCACCCCACTTATTCTTTGGTGTGTTTTTGCTGTTCTTAGTGCTTTATATTTGTGTCACTGCATCAAATTTCATCAAAATAAATACACCTCTTTTAGCACATTGATTGGAAACTGACAGGAGTTTTGGTATCAGGCTTGGGTTCAAATTGTAGCTTCACCTTGTGTTCTAGTGTACCGCTCAAACTTAAGTCACTTAACCTTGAACCTCAGTTTTGTGATTGCCGATGAGGTTGGATAATGTATAGAACGACTTGGATAGTACTTAGCGTTCTCATTATGCACTTAGTAAATTGTCTATTTCCATTTTGACTACAATTTAGAGTTTCCACAAACTTTTTTTATATGGGTAAAAGTATTCTATTGAGATGAACTCAGAATATAAGTATGCTGAGAGTGGCTCAAATAACATACCACCCGTGCTCTCCATTTTTGGGATTTCTAGCCCTTTGGAATACAAAGCCTCTTTTCCTCTTAAAACTCCCTAAACTTGTAGAACCTTTAAGCAGAAATTTAGGTTTCTTTCATAACCTCGCACACAGGAATATTTTATCATGAAAAATGTTGATGGGAAAATTTTCCCACCTTAGGAATCTTAGGAGTATGTATGAATAAATTTAACTTGAGTGCTATATAAAATATGGCCACTTTTTCATTTGCAGACTTATTTCATCTCTTTTATTTTGTAAATAAAATTTTGACATATTATTTTGAACACGCCAGGTACCACAACAACAGAACAGGTTTGGAATACAATCTAGTATATTTAAAAATGAATTACATATTTTTCAAACATAGAACTGTTATGACAAATTCCAGTTACTTTAATACTTTGTATAGTAACATGCACTTAAGATCTGTAAACACTTAATAGGATCACAGTATTTGGTTTGATTAAGTAGTAAAAACTGTATTCATTCAAATTAATTGATAAATTAACTTTTCTTCTATGTTACAGGAAAACCACCAAAGTTTTAAGTAGCATTTTAAGAACAGATGAATTTGAAGATAAAGAATTATTCGTTTTCTATTTTGGACACCTGCAAATGAAGTGGATCTAGTAACGATAACTGTAATGGACTGTGACAATTCAGTTTATTTTTAATTTTGATGGTTGGGTATTTGGTTTCTCCTAAAATGAGAAAGATATTTTAAACTATAAAGAATTTTCTAATCAGTTGCAGCTTTGCAGGTAGTTTCCTGCATAAATTGGAAAGTAACACTGGAAAGTAAGAATTTGGTTAGTAAAATGGGAAAGCTGTATTTATAATTTGCATGCTACTTGCAATTTTTTGTTTTTCATCTCTTGTAATAATGGAAATGTAAGCTGTAAAGATTCTCAAATATATACGCTATGATGTATATATGGTACATAATTTCTTGTTGCTTTTAAAGTTGGCTTTTGTTCTGTATTCCACTGATTTCCTACCAGCACTCTGAAAGGATCTTCACAATCTCTCCAGAGGCTTAAAACAATGCATAGTTCTCAATGACAGGAAGGAGAATATTTTAATAGGCATCTCTTTAGTCTCTAGGTTTTTGTAATAGGCATCTCTTTAGTCTCTAGGTTTTTGATAAAATTGTTTAAGATTCATAATTACTAGCAGAGATTGACAGTTTGGAAACAATGAAACTCAAGGTGAAAAATAGCTGCTACTTGTTGTCTCTAATCAGACCCCATGAACAGAAGAAGTTGGGCAATTGCAAAATTGATATTTCCAAAAGAGGAAAAATTTAGGCATTTGCAAATAACTGAGGTATATTAAGTTTCAATTCTATAATTTCTTATGACAAGAACATGTATGGATGAAGAATTTGGGGGCTAAACTTTTAGCTCCTAGAAATTTTATATAATCTGCATTTTGTCACTCTGGATGTTACTAATGAAAAAGTTTCTTCCAGCATAGTGTCAAAAAAAAAATGCTGATATAAAGGTAAGTGTAAACTCTCCCTACTTCTATTCTCTCAGATCCCCAGGTCTACTGGCAAGGCATTCAAGACCATCATTTAGCAGAAAGTTTATCATAAACTGAATTCTGAACTCCTAAAACCACTGGTCTTTGGGCTTGTTACCTGCATTCAAGCTTTAGTCCGTGGTAGGCTTCCCATCTTGGTCTTTTAGTACACTACTTTTCATTACTTTGTTCCCCAGAAAATTTTTTTTTGTAAATAGGGAAAAAAATACAGTAAAACCATAAATTTACGGGTTACTTAAAAATGATACATTTAAACCTAGGGCCCAGATTTTTCATTTATTTTTTGTCCTGTTTTCCCTTTATATTACTGTAGATTCCAGTGTGTATATATGTATATATATACACACACACAATTTATGCATAATTTGTATAAGAGCTGGAGCCAGTATTACCATAATTAAATTGGTTTGCTTTATTATTTACCTATTTTCAAAGTTTTTTTTTGACTCTAGTTAAAAAAACGATGATAGAACCTATTCCAGTTTGGAATCTAAAGAGCCCTTCCGCTCAGCACTGTTACTGAGGGCAGAAATCTTTTTAAAGTCATACCACCATTGTACTTTGGAAACTGCCTCACACTTAAAAAGACTTAGGAACTTTCTGAATCTAATACTGAAATATGTCTTGATTGGCTATAATTTGTATTTTTTGAAACCATTCATAACCAACCCTTTCAAGAAGAGTTTTATGTCAAAAGTTACTGTATATAATCAGAGTGAGATTGCAAAGACTGTTTTATTATCTGTTTGCCTTTGTACATATGTATAGCTTGTTTGAATAATCATTGTACATCTCCATTAATGTTCTCTGCTTTGTATATAAATTAAAAGAGTTTAGCCAGGTGTTGTTTCATAGTGTTTGTCATCTTTAGAAATGACCAGAGACAGACAGACAGATATATATATACACACACACACACACATTTGTGTGTGTGTGTGTGTATGTCAAAATTTACTGCCCTTGTCTCGTAGAAGCTATGAAAACAATTTTTACTTAGATGGATGAGGACTGAGGGGTATATAAAGGTACACCTTTGATTGAAGCTAATATTCCATAAATTCGTTTGAGAAAATATTTTAGGTCAAATTTTATATTTATAATTTAGTTCAATCTTCTGAGTTTTCCCAACAGTAAAAAAAAAAAAAAATTAGTTTTTCCTTGAAGACCTGTGGTTTCAAAGGAATTTGGACTATAGGATAACATGGTAACAAACTTCATATGCACTGGATTTTTATTAGCAGCATCTATCAGAATACATTTTATTAAAAATATATGAGCTTGTATAGCAAATATATTAGGTACACGGAACACACCAACTGTTCTGGTGAAAGTAGAATTGTCATTCTAGTGTTGAAATTGGAAAAAAGTTTTCTGTCTAGTACCTTCCCTATTTTATTACTTCCTTAAAGTTTTGTGCTTGTTTTATATTTCTTGTTTACTTAGGTTAAAATTTTATTATTTAAATATTTTGAAATTATTTAAATGCAAATGTCTATTTTTCGTAAGAAGATTAGTCCTCTGGATCATATGCCAAAAAATTTGAATCAGATTTTCTCAAAGTAAAATTCTCCCATTTTCTTGATTTGTTGAACTTACATATAAGGGAATTATGATGCTAATAAATGATATAATGGTGTTACAGTACTAAATGGTACCCTATCACAGAATTGTTCACTTGTGAAAAACCAGTTTATAACCTGATAGGTATATAGAGTCTATAGATTACAGCCAAGACTGTTGTATGCTCATGTATTAACATTTTTTTTTTTTTAGCTTAAACAACAGAAAAGTGTTTTCTTACAGTTCTAGAGACTGGAAGTCCAAGATCAAGGTGCTAGCAAGGTTGATTTCTTCTGAGGCCTCTCCTGGCTGGCTGTTGGCACCTTCTTACTGTGACCTCATGTGACCCTTTCTCTGTGCACTTGCTGTCGCTCTCTCTGCACATAAGGACACCATTTTGGGTCACATATTAGCTTTTTCAGTAAAGTGAATACTCATAAGATCATGAGTTGGGAATGGAGTGAGCACTACCAAAGAATAAACTTCAGTCACAGAAAATCAGTTACTTAAAAATGACAAAACACTGATTTAACCTTGATAGTTTATGACAAATCTACAAAAGCTATATCCTATGCAGTGATACTCTAAAAGTTTCCACTTCGATTATTTTTTATCATTTCTTTTTCACAATTTTTTTCCTTTATGTGTATTTTTTTTCACATATTAGGATTTTGCCACTAAAGGGTTTTAGGTTACAATGTAGCAAAACAGCAAAAATTGAGAATAGTGAACTTCAAAAATTTAGCTAAACTTCACATGAAAGATATAGAAGACATTTTAGAAGAGTGCACATCTTTAATATATTAAAAGTATAGATTAGTAACTGCAGAGAATTTTCTAATTCACATTTTAGATAAGAATACTTGTTTTGCACTTGGAACCATAAAGAAAATGTCTAGGAACATCTAGTTGTTCAGGATCCACCATGAAGCTGAAAAGAGAAAAACAACTATTATTAAATGAAAATAATTGCCAGGGTAAGTTAGTTCAAGGTGTAATCATTCTTAAAGAGACTATTTTCTCTCACCTTTAGTCTGCATAATTATCTTTCAAGTTAGTCACTATTTCCTGTTTGAACCAAGATTGAACTCTTCCTATGCAGTATTTGTACCAGATCTTTTGGCACTTGGTCATAGTCTGTTTGTTAGGTATGAATGGAGCTTATCTTGGTAATGAGATTATAAATGATAATTTATAATTATCATATAAATATAATAATATATTTATATAAATATATATAAATATATATATTTAATATATATAATATTATATATAATATAAAATATTATATATAATATATATAATATAAAATATATAAATATATATAAATATAATAATATAATTATATTATATTATATTTAACATATATATATTATATATATAATTATATTATAATTATATTTAACATATATATATATTATATAATATAATATAATTATATTATAACATGATTATAAATCATGTTGTTTTTATCTACCCAGTACTGGCAGCAGTTTGGGAATGTAAGATACTTTTACATAACAGTTTCAGAAAAATTGGGTATAAGCACGTGGATGTGTTTTAAATATTTTTTAGTATATATTGTAAAATTGAAAATGTTTTCCCTAGTGAATATAAATATCCCAAAGACAAATCTGTGGCAAAGAAGTAAGACTGGTAGAATGCTGTGAGAAACAGACAAATGGAAAGGATTGAAATTTGTTTGCAAATCTATTTGAGATATACTGGTTGGCAATAGGATCTTAACTTTCTGGTGTATCTTCTTTTCTCATAGCCAAGGCCTTTCTCATTTGCCAAGGGATATTCTGCTCCACAGACCGAATTCTTCATATTTTGGCCTGGGGGTTTTATGATGGCTAGTGAGCCTGTTTGGCTGTACTCCATTATGTCTCATTTGAATGATTTTGATATTTGAGAGTCCATAGGAATATATTTCTTAAGATGTTTCTTAGGTAAACCACTTAGAAACTTAATAAAAACAATCTTATCAGAAATCATAATTTGTGAGTTAAATTAAAAATACAAACCTACCCATCTCTGTATAATAGGTATTTTTTTTCAGATTTTTATTTTAGGTCTAAATATGTGCAGCTGAAATGCTTTTGTTTTTATTTTAGCCTTCATATAACAAAATTCGTAAGACTGGTTACTAAAAATATTAGAAGTCATATGGCCATTAAAACTTTAATATTTATAAGCTAATTCCAGCTGTTTGTGCAGAGAAGTGTGTCTGCTGTTGCAATTTATAAAACTTTCACATTAAAAAAAAAATAGGATGCCCCAAATAGATGTTAAAAATCTTGAGATTTAAAAAACTGTTAGAAATCAAACCTGTCTTTTCTTTTCGTTCTTCCAAATTTCAGTGGTCACTTTTGAAATTAGATGTGATAAGAAAATTAGGGTAACAAAAGCATTAAACTGCATTGAATTTGGGTTCTGAGAATAAGAACTGATCCAATATTATTTGTGCCCAACTTTTCTCTCTAAATTAGGAAATGCTGTGAGAGAGAAAGAATAATAGAAAAATTTCAGCCATGTTAATGGCTTCCTTATTTGAGGATTAAATCAGAGATATTCAGCAAGAGAAATTTTGCAAGTCCACAATCCTGTCCTTAAGAGCTAGAGTAAGTACCTAAAGCTCAGGCAGAGATGATAGGTCTGCTGACTGGAAAGCATTCACACCTGATCTCCCCCATCTCACCTACCTTCAATTCCAGAATTTATCTTTTCACTTTCCATTAAATCTACCCCAATTTTTAAATTCCTACCACTGTATTAAAACTGTTCTCTTGAACAGTGACCTCTTGTCAAATCCAGTTTTCAGTCCCATTCTCTTCAGTCCAACCCCACTGCACAGGCCCCTGACAAGCACTGTGCATTGCACGGTTATTTCTCTTTTGGTTTCCTTGCTTATCTACTACTCTGATTCTCCACCTCTGAGTGGTTCCCCTCTGTCTCCTTAATAAAGGAGGATTTTCCCTCCCTTTTAAATAAAGGCATTTTCCTAGGCTTCTGTCAGGTATTTTGTTCTGACCTATACCCTTTCTCACTAAATCCAGGCTTCAAATATCAACTTGCTGTGGTTAACTCCTGAAAACTGTATTGGCAAGGGAACTCTCTGGGTAGCTCCTGGTTCAGGTGCCTTCTTTTTCCTGGCCTAGATTATTGCCCTACCTGACCAGTCTCTCACCTCTCCATGATACCTTTCTCCCTCCTGCCAATTACTACTGATTAGAGCATTCACTACCCCTCTCAAAAACCTTTAATGATTCCTTATTACTAAGTTTTAACTCATTGTATTTTCAACCTCATTTCCTACACTCTTCTCTCTCTACAGGTACCATATATAGGATAGGCCCTATGCCTAAGTCTTACCTTTGCACCAATGAGCCAAGAACATTTAACATTTCTTGCATTTGTTCATGTCTACAATTTACTTCTAGCAAAGCTTCCTCCGTCTTTATTTGCCCAACTCACATTTTAAGTTCCAGCTCCAGAGTCATCTCTTTTTAAAAACCTTAAAGAAGCAAACCGTTCTCTAAATCCACATGCATATTATGACCAGCGGTAACTACTATGTTATGCCCTGAGCTTGTTTTTTTTTCTGCAAGCATTTGTCTTTCCTACTGAACAGAAAGCATTTTATGGGAAGGGACTAAATTTTTACTTTGCATTCTCTCTAGCTCCCGACATAATGTTTATTCAAAATTGGAACTCAGCACTAGTAAGCACCCCAGTATCCCCAGTACCTAGCACATAAAGCACTCATTAAATATATTTAATTGGTGACTGGAAGGGTAGATGAACAAATTAATTTTGGCTCTCAATTATCTTAAGCCTTGGCCAGGCCAGACTTCTTAGACAATTTCATTTCAAATTTCTCTTTCCATTCTGCTTTCCAATTACAAATAATATTTTAACAGCTATTAAAATATTTCCAGCATAATTCTAATCTGCAGTCTATAGGTCACACATTTCAAATACTAAATTATAGTATGTTAAAGCATTTGAATAATTGTTTTGGAAATGTCATGATTTGACTCCAGGTTTGTCAGGTTACTGAATATGACCAGAAAATGACTAATATTAGGTTTAATATAGTCAGGAATACAAACAGGATCAACTAAGGAGTAAAGACAATAGAATATATAGATCTCTTATTTCTTCCCCCCACTTTTAGATTTTAAGATCTAATAAAGACAGCGCCACTGATCAAGTTTGGGGGTAAGAAAATACTATCTTTTAAAAAGCAAAAGAATACAAAAGCATACAGAAGCACTGAAACCAGGGTAATTACCAGGAACTAGCATAGTAGATGTGAGTTCTGGAGTTTCCAAGAAATCCACGTTGCTTCTTTGGAATGTCTTGCTATAATTCGTCTGCAGGTGGCTGTATAAATAATTATAGGTTAAGGTTGTACACTTTTATTACAATCTTTTTAAGTAGAGTGCAACAGAGTTTGAATTCAGTCAAGATGGCAAGGTTTTGGATGATTTGGATTAAGTGTCTGAATATAGACTTCTTTTTATGGTTATTTAGCCTTAAAAGTAATTTAACAATTGTCATCAGAAAAAAATTTCGTATTAAAGACTTTTAAAAACAGAAGAACATTAATTCCCATGGAAAATAGAACAAAAGGAGAAAGACTTTAATTACAGAAAGACGTTTAAAAAGAAGAAAGAATATATTGGCTGTCTGGATGATGAAAAAAATAGGATAGCTAAGGAGAGAGACTATAGATTTTCTCTTCCTAGGGGAAAAAGATCATCTCTCTTAAAGTGTAGGCCTGGAGTACAAAATTGAGTAAGTGGCCTTTAAAGCTCCCTTCTGTGTTTGAAAATCTATTGGTGTCATTATGTATTATAGTTTTAAAATAGTCACAGAAAAAAAACTTACAGGTGAAATATGTATAACTAAATTCCCAGGTATTCTATTACTTGTACAACATGATTTGATACACATTATATACTGCAGAATAGTTACCAAGAGAAGTTGATTTTTTAATCGTTTCCAGTGTCTTTAATTTCCTTTTTTTGCAGTTTAAATACATTTAGAAAAATTAAGCTACAATGGTCTTAACCGTTATATATAGTTTTACTGTAAAGTAAAATACCACAGAATTTATGAAAAATTAGAAAGTAAAATTATTTTCTCATCCTTCCTTTTCTATGTCCTTTGTCCACCCACCCTCCTGACACTTTAGACACCCAGGACCCATATCTAACTCTTAGTTGAAAGCATCAGTAAAATGGTTATACTTAAAGTAGGATCATTACCAAAAGTATTTGTGCTTTAAGAAGAAAGTGGTTTCTAATCCATGAGATAAATTCCTAAAAGGGTGGGATTTAGGAAAACGAACAAATGGGACAGATTTTAAGGTGAGGTAAAAGGAATAGAGCTTTTCCTACAAGTTCTAAAAACATTATGTATATTTCCCTCTCCCTGCCCCCCCCCAAAAAGCCTGTTATTACTCACCTATTCCACACACTGCTGTTCTCCCAAAACTCATAAATTATGTACCGAGATTCATTGGAAAGCTTCTGTATGGAAATACTGAAATGGAAAAGAAAAAGAGTAAGTAGCCACAGGAAATTAAAGACAAGAAGCAAACTAATTTTTCTTTTTTTAAAAAGATTTTGGTTATTTTAGAGTGCGAGCAAGCTCGAGTGGAGGGAGAGAATCTCAAGCACGGTTCACGTTGAGCAAGGAGCCCTACATGGGACTTGATCTCACGACCCTGAGATCATGACCTGAGCTGAAATCAAGAGTTGGATGCTTAATCGACAGCCACACAGGCGCCCGAAGGAGAAAACTAACTTTTCTAATCATCTCTATATGTGGTATGAAACAAACTTACATATTCATATGGGAAACACCTATGGTGCCTGCATGAAAATGAAAGTTTTGTGAAGAATTGATTAGTTCAATAGGTCTGTATTGTTTGACATCATTTTTTAATTTTCTGGTTTGGCATCATGAAAATCATCTCAGTATATTATGGACATCACAAATACAACTTCTGTAAAATTTCATTCATTCAAAAGATTGAGTATCTGTTGTGTTACGGTTCCAAAAAATGTCGAGTGCATGCCACTGCCCCTGCCCTCAAGTGCAGCTCTTTGAATCCTGTCTGCCTCCATAGCTCTTTCCCCAAATTCCTGGCCTTCTCTCTCCTTGGATTGACTGCTGTAAGGCTTCTGGTTTGCCAGTGCCCATGGTTCATTCTCTCTCACACACATACCTCTCAATTTTCTCTCCAACTTGGAGAGTCCACATTCTAGCCATAATTGTAGTTTTTTTCTTTGTGTGCTTTTCCAATTTAGGGCAGATTTGTTCCTTGCAATTCTCTGACCAGCCTGAGAGTGGCAAAAAGGCTATGTGTTTTGGAGGAGTTGGATTGGGGGTGTGCTGAAAAGACATTGGGGTGAAGGCTGGATTTAATCCTGGAGCAATAAAGAACCACGGAAGGATTTAAAACAGGGAGGTATCAGGGTTAGAGGTGGATTTTAAAAGATCCTTCCGATGGTGGTGTGAGGTTTCCCATGGAGAATAGTCAATACAACACAAGAAGAAAAGCTAGAAAGGTAGTGAAATCGCTTAGGTGAGTGATGACAAAGATCCAAATTAAGGTAGAAAGGAGAAGGGGACAGATTTATAAATTTAAGGGAGAATGGGAGACAAATACAAAGATGCCTTTAAAAAATTAATTCCAGGGACTTCCAGGGAAGATGGTGGAGTATGAGGACCCCAAATTCACCTTGTCCCACAGACAGAACTAGATAACAGCCACCTCAGTATAAGTAACTCAGAAAATGACCCATAGACTGGCAGAACAGATTCTCCATAGCTAAATGTAGAGAGGAGACCACATCTAACTGTTGGGAGCTATAGGGACTGTTGGACTGCCGGCAGAGGGGAGGGACACATGGGGGTAGGAGGAGAGAGAAACAGACCTTCACAGTGGGAAGCCTGCAAGAGGAAGATGAATTTGGCTTTGAAAATCAGAAGGGCCAAATTTCGTGAGTTCTTAACACCAGTGGGTCTTAAAACTTAGAATGTAAAAAATCAGCAGGGTTGGCTCTGGGAGAGCCTGGAGGGATTCAGAGAAACTGAATCCCTACCCTTAAAGAGCACAACAAACAGCCCCATGAAGATACAGCATAGAAGCAGCAGTTTGAAAAAATGCCTGGAATATACTTGTTTACTAATTTCAGGGCATGTGCTGGAGGGGCAGGGATCATTGGCAGACTTCTGCAGGAACACAGGAACAGGCAGGTGCCATTTCCCTCCCCTGATCCCCAGTATAAATACACAGCCACCTGTGGGAACCAGAGCAGCATAGACAATCCCTACATGACTTGCTAATACTGTGCATCCTGCCCAGCCCCAGCCACCCTGCATCCCTGCACTTAGGCGGATCTGCCCTCTCCAACTTGGCCTGTCTTGGTTCTGGTGGCTGCAGGTCTTTCCCACAGCAGACCAGGACAAACCTTGCTAACACCATGCAACCAGCCCCTGTTCGGCAGATCTGCCCCCTCCTAGATGCTCTTGGCCGGAGCCCATCCAAAGCAGAGCCATAAGCTTGGCTGTGTACAAGCAGCTCTGAGAGCCCAGCACCACTCCAAGGTGACGCCTGCCCCTGGGAAAGGGGGAGATAACCACATACACACCAGTCCAACTACAGCCCCAGCAGTGGGCTGAGGACAGACGTCTGGTCTGACTGCAAGCCCTGCTCAACAATGAACAAAAACTTCCCAGGAGACAAAACAGTGAAAGTGCCCTGCATTCAGTGCTACTATATTTCTGGCAAACGTCTGGTCTGACTCAACTCAAGCCCAAGGCGGCCCAAAACTGGCTCACTAACAGCACAGGGACCAGACTACTGCTGACAACAGGCTAAAAGAGCCATTGCTGATGACTGGACTAAAGGAAAAAGTGGCTCAGTCAGTCACAATAGCAGGGTGCACAAAACACACACAGGAGACACCCTTGAAGTGCCAGGTTCGGGTGAACAAGGGACACTGCACTGGAGGGCACTACAGGACCTCTTCTTCATAAGGCCACTACATTCAGGAGCAGGAGACAGAGCTGACTTTCCTAATACACAGAAACAGACATGAAGAGACAGAGGAACACATCCCAAATGGAAAAACAGGACAAAATCACAGCAAGAGGCCTAACTGAAATGGAGATAAGTAATATGCCTGATGGAGAATGTAAAATACTGATCATAAAGATACTCACTGGATATGAGAAAAGAGTGGAGGACATCAGTGAGACCCTTAACAGTGAGACAGAAAACAAAAAAATAATTAGAAATGAACTCAATAAATGAAATAAAAATATAGTAGATGGAATAAGGAGACTAGAGGAAGCAGAAAAACAGGTCAGTGACTTGGGAGGACAGTAATGGAAAGCCATCAAGCTGAACAGGAGAAAGAAAAAAATAATACAAAATGAAAATAGACTTAGGGATCTCAACAACACCATCAAGTGTACTAACATTCACATTATAGGGATCCCAGAAGTAGAAGAGAGGGAAAACAGGGCAGAAAATTTATTTGAATAAATAATAACCCTGATTCTAGGGAAGGAAACAGATATCCAGATCCAAAAAGCACAGAAAGACCCTAATGAAATCAACCCAAGAAGGTCCACACCATGACACATAATAATTAAAATGGCAAAAAGTAGTGAGAGAATTTAAAAGCAGCAGGAAAGAAAGAAAACTTATATATAAGGGAAACCACACAAAGCTATGAGCTGATTTTTTAGCAAAAAGATTACAGGCTGGAAAGGAGTGGTGCGATACATTCAAAGTGCTGAAAACAAAAGAATCTGCAGCCAAGAATACTCTATCCAGCAAGGCTATCATTCAGAATAGGGCGCCTGGGTGGCTCAGTTGGTTAAGCGACTGCCTTCGGCTCAGGTCATGATCCTGGAGTCCCGGGATCGAGTCCCGCATCGGGCTCCCCGCTCAGTGGGGAGTCTGCTTCTCCCTCTGACCCTCTTCCCTCTCGTGCTCTCTATCTCTCATTCTCTCTCTCTCAAATAAATAAACAAAATTTAAAAAAAAAAAAGGCTATCATTCAGAATAGAAGGAGAGAGAAAGAGTTTCCCTGATAAAAGCTAAATTCATCACCATTAAGCCAGCCTTACAAGAAATGTTAAAGGGGACTCTCTGAGTGGAAAGCAAAGACCATAAGTAGGAGTAAGAAAAGTAAGAAGCACAAAAGAGTAAAATTAAGTACATATGTAAAAACTGGTCAAGAGACTCACAAAAGGTTGTAAAGCATGGCACCATATACCTAAAATTTGGGGGTAGAGGAGTAAAGAATGAGTTCATACCGAAGCAACCATCAACATAGAGTGCTAGATGCAGAAGATGTTATATGCAAACTGAATAGCCACAAATAAAAAACCAATAATAGATACGCAAAAAATATAAAGAAAGGAATCCAAGTATATCACCAAAGAAAGCCAACTAATCACAACAAAAGAGCAAGAGAAGAGCAAGAAAATCTACAAAAATGACCATAAAACAAGTAACAAAATGTCAGCAAGTTTGTATCTATTAATAATTACTTTGAAAGTAAATGGATTAAATGCTCCAATCAAAGACACAGGGTGACAGAATGGATAAAAAATCCAGACCCATCTACAGGTTGCCTACAAGAGAAGCATTTCAGACCTAAAGACACATGCATATTGAAAGTGAAGAGATGGAAAAACATTTATCATGCAAATGGACATGAAAAGAAAGCTGACGTAGGAATACTTACATCTGGCAAAATAGACTTTAAAATGAAAATTATAAAAAAGACAAGGACACCACATAATCATAAAGGGAATAATCCAACAAGGAGATATAACAATTGTAAACATTTATGTACCCAACATGGGAGCACCCACATACATAAAGCAGTGATTAACAAATGTGAAGTAATCAAGAGTAATACAGTAATAGTAGGGGACTTTAACACCCCACTTACATCAATGAATGGATCATCCAAATAGGAAAAAAATAAGGAAACAGTGGCTTTGAATGACACACTGGACCAGAAGAATCCAAGAGATATATTCAGAACAGTCCATCCTAAAACAGCAGAATACACATTCTTTTCAAGGGCACATGGAACATTCTCCAGAATAGATCACATGTTAGGTCACAAAATTAGCCTCAATGAATTCAAAAAGACTGATTTCATATCATTCATCTTTTTTGAACAGAATGCTATGAAACTAGAAATCAACCATAAGAATAAATCTGGAAAGAGCACAAATACATGGAGATTTAATAACATGCTACTAACAATCAGTGGGTCAACCACAAAATCGAAGAGGAACTTTAAAAGTACATGGAAACAAATGAAAATGAAAATGCAATGGTCCAAGTCTTTTGGATACAGCAAAAATGGTTCTAAGACGGAGGTTTATAGCAATATAGGCCTACCTCAAGAAGAAAAGTCTCCTAAAAGAGCTAGAAAAAGAATAAACAAAACCCCAAACCAGTAGAAGGAAGGAAATATTAAAGATTAAAGTAGAAGTAAACA